AGTCAAACCGTGCTGTATTTTCTTGTCTTATTATTTAACCATTGTCTTTTATATCTTATGCGTGAAATTCATAGCTGCGATCTAGCGTATTTCTCTTTAATATGCACAAATCTAAATCAAGATATATGAAATATTGATAGTTTTGCGTTCTCAGATGCAAAGTTAGTTCAGAAATGTCCGCATACGTAAGTCTCGTAATTCCAAACAGTTCCCCGGCCTTCAGTTAGTAATAGGTATTTTGTGCATAAATCTGTGTTTCTCCTATTATCACCGCACGTTGTAGCCTCTCTCTTCTCCACAAAATTCACATAATTATATGTAATCTTCATTTCTGATGAACACAAGACAGCCTTGATTGCAAACGTCATTCGAATCAATTTAATATGCTTTTGGTCTGCATTGTAATATTTATGACTTTAAAATTTACCCCAAGCATCTGTCACATGAAATTGAAGTGTTTACAAATTCGCTGTGTACGTGTTGTCGCTTTCCTTATGCTTACCGTAGAATTTATCTACACTCATTCACTTTATTCTATTTAGGCAAATCCCTATGTTAAAATTAGACTTTAATTAGCTTTACAAACTGATGACGTTATTATAAGTATTGTGCTAACAAAGCTGATACTGAGCGTCCTAAGAAAACGTGTTAGTAGATAAAATAGTAATGCAATAAATGTTGTGGGCACAGTTTTTATTAACCATCGTGAAATTGAAGTAGTAAATTTTGCTAAGCTTGTATCTTTTGGCCAAATGAAATATGAGGGAAAAGATGTCAAGTATTTCTGTATATATCTGGATTTCCAATGGTAACTGAAGAAGTTAATATGACTTAAACTTACGATTATTTTATTCACTCGTTTTCAGACAACTGTGTCTGTATCAAGCATACATTCAAGAGATTTTGTGACCTTTGTGTTTGAGTATTTAGTGAAGTAGTATTCATACAAGTGATTGCAGAGGGTAAAAACAGAGATTAAAACCCAACCAAAAAAAGTTTACACCAGCAACTGCTTTAAGGCTTAGGTCTAGGCATTTTTAGACATAAAATTACATTACTATGACTATATTCAGAGCCTATACAAGTTGTCCTAAATAGAAGGAAAATTAAACCAGAAGACTTAGTACTGCTTGATAAAACTTAGTGAAATACAAAGGTGATTAATCACTATAAGACCTTGCCGAAATTCTTTTGGTTATATTTAACAGGTACAACTTCTTTTCAGCAATAGAACCAATACAACTTTGTTGACAGGCTAACAGTAGCTATACGTTTTCTATTTTCACTGTTTTAGAATTAATTTTAAACTCATCCGATGTTCTTTAGTGCATGCGTGAGTTGTAGATCCAAAGCTTCAAGTGATTGCTTTTTTAAAACACTAGTTTATTTCAAAAGCACCACGTTAAATTCGTGATTGTACCCTGGAAAGCACTGCGGAATTCATGACACGCTAGGATATATTGAGTCAAGATGCTTTATTTTTACGCAAGTTGAAGAACTCCAGTGAATATTTTGGTGATCCGACCTACTAATTATGTTTTGCATTCATTGCCATAGTTCTGTATCATATTGTTCCCACTTTATTTAACGACGATACAAGTGATCAAGCTACTGTCCTTATCATCGTCACGGGTCCTAATTGACGGTAAAAATTACTAAAAGGATGAATCGCACTTCTTAAATATTTTCAACCAATTTATCGGTACACTTTATGCTACACAAATACATGCTCATTTCGTTTAGAAAGATGCTGTTTTAGTTCATTAGAGAGTTTATCATTTGAGAAACTGATAAGTTTGAGTTTTCTGCATAAAATCTTAGTTTGATTTTCAATGTTTATAAAAATTAATCAAACAGATTCAGCTAAAGCTGTGTCTTTTTAATCAAGCGATGGATTTTAATAGGTCACATAACGGTCAGTTAGTCTGCCTTTTTGTATAATAAGTTTGAAGTTTAATAACACTGACAAATAACTGAAGGTGCAAACTAATTGTTCCGATATCAGAAAGTGAATTAAAGATTAAAAAACTATAGCCCGTTGTAGATGCATGATTTCTCAGTATTCTTTTAGTCAAAATAATTTGCATTTGGATGGTAAAAAGCTATTTTACGAAAATTATAAACAGTCTCTTGCAAATTAAACCAAATGTAATAAGTTGCACATTATAAGAAGAATCACCATTTTAATTTTCCTGATGAAAACTGCAAATAATATTTTAAAAAATTGGGTGTCATTGTAGTCCAACTGCGTTTATTTGGCGTTCCGAATAGTTGGCATGCACTTCCATATGAGGAAAGAAGGCTTTCGTAGAATGCTGGAGAAAAACTTGCTAAACAGTGCTACATATCTGATATTATTCACAGTGATACAATATTATTTATCAGATGAATTATCCTATTACGGAATTGCAAACTACTACATAGCTTAAATGTTATTCTTGTTTTAGTGATTTGCATATTGATATAATGTTATATAAGCTTCTACAACGGTTGAACTACTTCTGTAAAGTTAACTATCAAAGACATACTAAAGAGATTCTCTCTAGATTCAAAATGGAATGTACATCACTAGTAGAGGCTTAAAAAAGTATTAGAGTTACCCAGTCGACAGAAACAGTTAAGTTGAAGCGCAAATACAAGTCACTTTCATTTGTGTGTTATTGCTTTCCAAAGGGATTCTCACTTTCGGCGAATAACTGAGATAATGCTGCAATTGAAATATGCTTATCAAAACATTTACTCTCACTTTACTTACTAGCAAGTAAATCCGCTATGTAAATATATCAAACTTTGTCCATTTCCTATGTAATTAATATTCATCTTTAATTTTTTCTAAGTAAGTATATTTAAATTTTCATAGTTTAATAGCTTTTTATGTGGTTTTGAGTTTTGAGTTGACTCGTGTATAATTACCTATTCATCTATTCAGAAATTTCGATTTTACATTTTACCGCTTTTAAATATTTCTGTCTGAAGTTTTTGGCAATTATTTTATGCAAGGTAACAGTGGTTAGAATGTTCTGGCTCAGTTGACATTTTGTAATCAAACATTTTTAAATATTAATATACATCGATCTACATCGATCAGCTGTTCTTAAGCTAAATGAATACTATACAACCTAAAAGAACTTTTTTATTTCTCCAGTTTAAAAGTCCCTAAATTTGGGTCAAAAGCGATTTATAAATTCATCTGTCTTCATAATTGGAAGTAATTTTACACTCTAGCTGATTTTAACAACTGATTGAAGCTCGTACAGATGATCAAATGTGCACAGTGTTTTGATCTTGTCAATCTTCGAAAGGCATTCCTGAAAGCTGCATAGAAGAGACAACAGTATTGAAATGAATACTGTTTTCTTTATACGCTAATTTGCTTTCTGGTTATATAATAACAACAGATACTTTTGTTCGTTAGGATAATGGGAAGATATTTGGAATACTTGTAGATTTTAGTGGATTTACATGAAATATTGCTGATTGATAATGTTAACGACAAGAAAACCACGGATAAATACTACTAGAGTTACACAGACTTTGACTAATTATTTTCTTGGGTGTAACATTCATTTACAATCCAGGCATTCAGCAAAATAAATTATGGACAGATGCTAATAAATCAGGCATTGATCAGTCAGTTAGTTTATAAATAATCCAGACTTCTAATACAGTGGGTTTGAAGAGTTTAATTCTATCATGTTCATCAAGCTAAAGTGACTGAATTTTCTGTCATATTTTGCTTATAATGAAAAGCTGTGCATTCCAAAAAGGAAATAAAATAAAGTTTTTATAACTTTACTATCTTATTATGCAAGTACTGTTAGTTTGAGATTTCCCCTTTAACTTATCATTGTAGTTTTAACATATTAGAAAAACAAAAGCTTTCACAGTCTATCTTGAGATTTTATCATTTTTTGAAACTGCATTTCAGTCCCTATTTAAAATGATATAAGATTGGTGAGATACAAGAATAGGCAGGTAAATAAATGTGGATACCAGCTTCACTACCAATAGTTTTAGGCATTTGCACCAAGGGTATTCAATAACTGACTTTTAATATCAGCGTACGATAACTTTCAGCCTGAATCTTCTCATGAGTTAATTTCATGTTCTGATCTAATCACTTTCTCCCTGTATATCTAAAATTACTTTTATTCTGGTAAGCATTACGCGAATAGTTCAGGTTTGCAACCCTAGAAGTTGACTTTCCTAAGAGAAACTATAATCCTAAACTGATTATTGTTAAGTTCAAACCTCTGGGAATAAATGCAGTTCGAGAATTCAATCGAGTGTCATTCGTTTATCAAGTCAACTATCTTTCGGAATGTTAGATGTTAAGAAGCATTTTGTTTGATAACAGTTAACTGCTGTAAATTATGAACTTTTAAGAAAAAAATATAAATTTGTATTTCCTTTTTATTCATCCACATTTTGCGTAAACATTTCAGAATTTGAAATATGCTAAAGATAGTATCGTAAGTTTCCAAATAAAATTTATTAAACGAGAAGAAATGCGCTTTAAGTGGTTTAACATATTAACACTTACACGAATAAAGTGTTTAAATAAGCTGATAAATTTCTCCTGTTTTGCGATGATCTACCGATTTTATTTCGGTGATCAGCCTGATTTAAACACCTAATATTTGAATGGTATAAAAGAAGTGTTGACAGAACTTGAAGGAAGACTTGAGTGGCCGTGAGGCGCGAATCAATGGTCTCTAAACGTTGGCTTTATCTCCTACTGACCGAAGAACGGGACGCATCTAGTAACCAATTAAGAATGAGGAATTTTTGAATATTATGATGTTCTTAATTGTTTAAACTCCTGTATGTATATGAGGTAAAATATTTATAACATTTATCACCAAAAGGTTAATTAATATTCGAAAAAGCGTCAGGTAAGGCTGGTAAGCACCTGTTTTTATAACTGACTTGAAAGAGAGTGGAACAGATTGATAATATATTATAAAGCTTTAAATGATAATGGGATTTCTTTACGACAGTCATTTTTTTCTTGAACTGGATTTACTTTGATCCGCTTTATCTTCACTGTCTTCTTCATCAGTGTCCTCATCTTCGCTTTCATCGTTGTCACCTTTCGTCTTCGTGACTTCATTTGTTTCTTCATCGTTTTCATCGTTATCACCTTCATCATAATCACTGTTTGTTGCACTTTCTTCATCTTTGTTTCTCTTCTTCCTTTTTAGCTTACTGAAAAGCTTCACCCATGGTGGCTTATCATCCAACCGTTTTGAATAACCTAACTTCCATTCAGCTTTGGAACGCAGATGTAGTATTTGATCGCGTAATTGACAAATAATAGTGGGCCAACAACAACACATTAAACAGCACAGGTCACTAATACAATTACCTTCGATGCGGTGTGCACGTCGAACTCTTTGACGAAGTATTATTATTGTACACATATGAAATGGTAATAGAATAATTGATAATAGAAATGCTATTGACCATGGTAATGAACAGGTATAGTGATAAATTTCAGTAATAGCAAATGGGCAGCAAAGTAAGCAGCAACAACAGTTACCTAAATGCAATGAACAATCTTATTAATCAAGTTTTTTTTAATCATATTGAATATATTATTATGACGCGAATTATTGAAGAAAAAAACCTCATTAATGTATAAATCTACTTATACACAAGAAAATTAAATTTTTAACATGGAGTTTCACAAAAAAGTGCAGCATTTCAAATTGTCATAATTCATAAAAGCACACAAACTTAAAAAAAAGAATAAGCACTAAAAAGCTGTAATAAAGGGAACGTGCAACAGAAAAAATGACCACCTGGAGAATAATGGTGATTTATTGAGTCTCGTCGGTCACACAGAGTGAATACATCTGCATCACTAAGCCAAGTCACTGACAGTCTCCAGCCACTGATTGCTAGCATTCTGAGGACTCCTACCAGGTCGTCTACACCTCTCAAAGTGACTCATATCAAAAGTCATGGGCCTCAGAGATTGACATCATGTTTTGGTCTTACCAGCCCTAAATTCTTTTCCAAACTAATCTAATCCCAGTCTATACTTACTAAATGTTGTCATTAAACTGTTGCCATGTTGCTTGATTTTGATGTGCTGGAATCGAAGAGCAAATGGTCAAATGTGGCACTATTTACTGCATTACTTAACTTCTTATACGCAGAGTTAGGAGTTGTCAATAAAGTATTCCGTGTTGTCAGTATTTTATCTTGATCTATGCCTAACGCTGATGTGCGAATAATTTCGAGAAAATTCTAGTATCTTTTGTGTAAAAAGTTATGTTACTTAGCATAAAACTCTAATAAGAATAAAGCCACATAAAGCAAGAAGAGAGTATATAACCAGTTTATGAATGCATCAACATTTGTTTTGATTACCAGAAAAAAGTGAATAAGAATTTTTCTCATGACTGTCAGTAAGCGCCTAAGAAGACTATATGTAACATCCATACTTTAGTAATATGATGGAAACCACTTTATATTTGCATCAGACAATCACTTTACACTTGCTTTTAGGCATTAGAAGTACAACAGATAGATAGTTCTGAAAGAATCACGGAGTTGGTAGCACTAAATTACAGCGAACTGTATTGCTGAATCACCTGGTCAACTGCTGGAAATGAATTGCTAATTAGTAGACATGTCAGTATAAAGTGGTGAAATGAACAGTCCAGAAGTGATTCACATTTCCTTTTGTTGATATTTTATCCGTGATTTTATGTATTTATCTCTGCAATGAGTGTCACAACCTCGCCTAATAATACTAGTAGTAGTAACAATAAGCTTACCTAATATGTATAATTTTCTGAGTATGTTATGGTATAATATTTCCTCTTCATCCAGTCATCTCCAGTCTATCATGTGACGCAGTGGTGCTGGATCTTAAAAATAAAATAAACCTTTATATTATCTACCTGAAAGAACACTGGAAGTCTCTAAAAACAAGGTGGAGAGAGGTCTAAATAAATATCCAAGGGAAAAAGAAGAAAAAGCTATGTGTGTACACCTGGGAGCCGATAGAAAACAGAAGGATAGTGAAGCAGGAAACGAACCAGCGCACAGAAGAACAGCTAAGGGAGAAGCTGAGTACAACCTACAGAGCACTGAACAAAGTAGTAAAGAAAAGTGTCACGAAAGATAAAAGAGACTTTAAAGACCTACTCGCAACTGAAGCAGTACAGGGCGCAGACAAGAGAGACCTCCAGACCTTCCAGAAATAATACCAGCAGACAGGACTACCATTGAACATCAAGCCTCCAAAAGAAGCAGAGGTGGCGAATGCCATAAAGTTGTCATAGGCGGGGAAGTAGAAAAGCCATAGAATCTTTAATGTGAAGAACTGGAAATGGACAGAGAGATCTCGGCAGGCATGCTGACGCCACCATTACAAAAGGTGTGGGAGGAACGACAGGCACCTACCCACCTCTTGGATGGAAGACTCTCTTGTCAAACTGTCAGAAAACAGCTTAATCCAATGCGAGAACTGGCTCAGAACAACTCTATGATCTACCTCAAGCAAGATGTCAAGCCTTATGGTCGTGGAAAGCCTAAGAAGTGACCAGGATGGAAGACTTCTCCCACAACAGGCTGGATTCAAGAAAAACAAATCATTCGCGGATCAAATCCACATACCACGCATCATCAGTATCGAATAAAGCATAGAACGGCAGTCAACTGTTCTCCTCTACTTCATCTACTTTGGAAAAAACCTACGACAGCACTGATCACAAAGTAACTTGGGAAATGCTTCAGCAATGTAGAGTGCAGTGCTGCAGATATGTATAAGTCACATTTGACAGCTATGTGCTGATGCTGCATTCCTAGTACTCCACAACGAAAAGTTCAAAGAGGAGTTTGAAGTGAAGAGAGGGTCAAGCCAATGTTGCCTACCCTCATCAACAATCTCCCTGGATGTGGTGGACTGAATCTTGCAAGAGGCCATGGAGAATAAGATAGTCATGACTGACTGCATTTGAATTCAGAACTAAGCACAGAAGTGAAGGAGTCCAAATTACCACAATCCAAACAGCACATAGAGTTAGAAAAAAGTTCAGAAGAACGGGAGAAATAATAATTACATGGAAAAACATGTGGATTTAATGGATCTGGGAGATTACAAAGAGTGAAGGCATGTGAACCATGGAGAAGGATTTTGAGCCATACCACCAACTTTTTATTCAACCATTGTTTCTTAGCGTCTTGAGGACGACGTTACCAGTTCAAACCAACATCCGAAGATGTGTTATGACTGTTTTTGATTTGACCACTCCTAACTCTTCTTCAATCAAATCCTATGTCAGTTAACACTGTCAGATGAAAAAGACATTGGCTCGGCATGCGTTATACATTACCTAATCATCTCAATCGATGTAGCTTCACAACCTACTTAGTTGACCTTTACAGGCTGGACTCATAGAAAGACTACAGAAGATCTGGACTTCTCGGAAGATCTCCGCCTCCTGTTGCACAACATCGAATATTTACTAGTGAAAATTAAAAAGTTGACAGAATAGGGAGGAAATACAATGCTTCATTCAAAAGGATATAGAGCGGAAAAAAGTGATGAAAATACCAAACCAACGCCAAAACGTACCAGTAGCTATCAGCATGGGAAATCAAAACGAAGTCATCTCCTTCATATGCCTAGACTGGCAGCATCGTTTCAACCATAGCCTGCTGCATGATGTTGAAGCCAGCCAAGATGGAGTTGGGAAGGTGAGACAAGGTGCTGATTGCTCTGGAATCAGTGTACAAATCCACAAACGGCATTTGACAGGAGTAAGATCAGGATTTTCAAAAGAGAGTCAGTTAGATCAGTGCTTCTACATGGTCTAGAGAAATGGCGTGTCATAAAAAGCATTTCATCAACAGACGCCTTTGCTACGTGGATACTAAATATCAAATGGCCAGCCAAAAAGAGTAAGCAACAGGCAGCTTAACAAACAAACCAATTATGCGCCTATGTATGCAAACGAAAATGAAGATGGATTAGACATACACTGAGGAGACCCTTGAGGGACGTCACACTCCAAGCAGGTCATCCTTCGGAGCGTCTGAGTGTGACTAAAGCAAGATTGTAGGTAGTCGTGGAGCCAGCTATGAAAGACCACAGAGAACAAAATATAATGGAGAAGTGGTTCTAAAGCTCTTTGAGCTACTTGGAACCCAAGGGACGGGTAATAGTAATGAAAATGAAAGTTATGATGCAAGAAACTATTTACAATTCTCTTTGATTAGGTAAAAGAGCAGGAAGGCCGCAAAACACTCGAATATCTATCCTGGTTTTTCAGAAAGTTCCGATCTCCTTTTTCTGAGTAGAGAGATCGTAGAGACTGATCATTTACGATACGTCTTTGATAGAAAATAAGCTTTGATTTCTTAGAGTTTAATTGAGACTCACTTTCATGGTATGTCAGTTAGTTCATTGTCCCAATTCTAAAACTTATTTAAGAGTGGTTGTTGGCAATAAAGTTTAAAAATATTGTCCCCTTTAATATAAATTTAGGCAGAACAGATGCATGTCATTGAAATCTTGCAACATTAAAATGAGAGCACTAAAAAATAATCTTACCGTATACAAATGGCAAATACCAGTTGCGCTGGTGAAAAATGCATGTCAATAGTTTATTCCATATTTAAAACAAGCAACAAAGGTTAATAAAGCAGGATTTAATGAATTCATCAAATTTCTGTAGAACTGGTCAGCTGAATACTCTACATACACGGATATATATACTTTCGAGATTACATTGGGAGATATAAGACCGATAAGCAAATAAACTACATTGAATTAGTCATGTATGTAATTTCAAAAGTATATATATCCATGTATGTAGAGTATTCAGCTGAGGAGTTGATGAATTCATTAAATCCTGCTTTATTTACCTTTGCTGTTTGTTTTAAATTCGTATCGGGAAATAAATGTTTTAATTCCATATTAGCTGTAATGTTTACCAGTATAAGAAAGTAGTGATTAGCACCATATTATATTCCATGATTCATAACTGTCATTTCTCTTGAAGTAAAATTCTCGGTATAATGAAGCATCTCACCACAATCAGATCAAAGAATAGTAAAATAACTTTAAGTAGTCTGTCAGTACTTACTACAGTTTTCATAGCAAGATATTGCATAAGTATTCCACTGTTTGTATTTCCTTTCCTTTATTTCCTCACCTCCACCACCACAGCATTTCATGATTGTTCTTCTAATTGAGCATTCGTAGAAATTCAAACCAGTAACTGATTTTTAATGCCTAATAGAAACCCACTAATTTAATATCTGTAAGAAAAATAATATGTGGTGAAGCTGGTTATTTTATTTAAAAGGTATCGATCAATGTCTGAATTCATGTGATAATGATGAATTTAGCACATGAACGTTTTCTATTCCCATATTTGTTTCTTTGGATCCATTCTTATCTAACACTTATTTTTTAAAATCAACTGAAAAACAATGGAGTAATATGAGACGTTTATAGAGACATCTACTAGAGTCTCACTTATGAAAGTGTAGTGTAATGAATACATTCATCAACCCAAAA